ACGAAAACTATAGGGGGCTGTATTGGCGAGATCCAACGGTGAACAGCTGCCCAAAAGAAAAACCGCCTGGAAGTTGGAGGACCTTTAGTATTGTACTCTACCCTCGAACCAGAAGCCTTCGCGCCAAGCAAGACCGCCCTTGTCCCTTTCCTTTCTCCATTTCGCCTCCTTCTTTGCTTTGTTCCAATAGAGTCTAAGGCAAAGCTAAAGTGGTTCGTATGCCTACTTTACCTACTTGACGAAAGGGAACGAACTTCGTTTCGTTTCCGGGTTTATGGATTGGATTCAGTCAGCCTCACTCCTTCCTTTTTATGTTGTCGTGATGGTTACCGGCGAACGCTCCCAAAGGCGACCCTCTCGAGTTTCCGGCTGTTTTCTAGATTGAAGTAGCCTTTCGTCGCCCCGAAAGAAGTCACTATCAAAGAGCTCGCCCTACTGAAGTACCAAAGGTGCGCTCAGCCCGGTGACTAAGAAATGGGTTTGCGCTTGAATTGAAGTGATGAGGTTTTTCGAGGGAAGTAGGGCTCTTATTGACTAAAAGTGGAAACATAGTTCCAAAGCTTCTACGGTTGTATGTGCACCTTAAGGTTGTTAGGATGCTCAAAATCCAACAGATATCAATTACCTTTCCAGAAAATTCGATTTCAAATAGTTAAAATAATTTATGGTAATTATCCTAATCTAATTAAGGCCTGAAATTTGAAAATCTGCTTACAGAGGAGTCAACTCGTCGATTCAAAGCATGGACTCGTCGAGTTCATCTTTGAACTCATCGATTTCATCAGGCAGATTGCAATTCTGCTTGTTTTTTCGATTTGGACAGATCACTATTGTATCAAATATAACGGAAAAACATCCTAGGCTCTGATACCACTGATGGGTTTTTAGTACAACAACAGTCCTATGTGATCATGCAACCATAATTGCTTTGGATCTAAGTTTTTCTCTAGTTATACATAAAAATAGAAGTTCCAAAGCAATAACCCTAATACTAGCATACAATTTCATAAATCAATATGAAAACTAGGGTTTGATTGTTACCTCTCTTGTTATCTCGTAATAGCAAGCAATCCAATGATGATCTTGACTCTTGAAAGTTTGAGTGCCCCAAGTGTTGCACCTCCAATGGAATCACAAACACCAAAAGCAAAGGATGAGTGAGAGAGAGGGCAAAATTTCAGCTAGGGTTTCTCTTGGAAGTAGTGGCTGAAATTGGGAGGTCAGGGGATCCTTAAATAGTTGTGGCTGCTAGGGTTTTCAGGTGGAAACCCTAATCCTTGCTTAGGCTCCAAGCAATCCATGAACCCACCTTTTAGAAGGCCTTGGACGATTTCTATAAGGTCTCCTATATATTTCGTCCAACCCTTTATAAGGGAGTCTAACAGCCCAGTTTGCAACTATCAATGATTTGCAAACCAGTCCCCTTACTTTTAATCATTTCCTTTAATACCAAATTTAATACCAAATTAATTTCTGATTAAATACTAATTAAATAATATGATTTCTAATTAATATATTATTCTTATAATATATTAATAAATCATTTATCAACCTTTCTCTCCAATGTCATCCTGTCAAGTTGCTATGGTGAAGGCAACCTAAAAGGACCATGCTACTATAAGATCAAGTACATATCAATTATAGTTATGGGCTTAGACACCTAATCCAATAAGACCTGGAAGTGGCTCCTAGAAAATTATATGCAAGACTAATATCGGACCCTGGCAGATAAGTAGATAGTTGTATATATAGATAGTGTGGTAGTTGTCTTTGTGATACTTGCATGGAAGACCAGAAGGTGGCTCTTGGCACTTGTCTGTAAGACCCAGGGTATTAACCCCCGACCTGGCAATGAAAGACCATGATACGGTTTGTGGAATAATGGCAAGACTATGGTTGGCACATAGCATTCTCTATTGTATGTATGGTATGTGGTATTTTGGAGAACTCACTAAGCTTTGTGCTTACAATTTATTGTTTAGGGTTTCAGGATCTTCCGGTACAAAAGGGAAGGGCCCGACGTAACTGCACTGCATCCACCCATGATTCTGTAACTTTATGATTTTGGGATTGTACTCTGATAACAGTTTTTACATTAATACACTTTTGAATTATTGGTAATACTAAATAGTGTTTTATGGTTGAATTAAAAATGAAATTTTTACCTATAAATTTTGGGACGATACACCTCAAACCAAGGCTCAAATACTAACTTGTAATGTCCAAAAAATACCGATTAAAATTTTATTTTAAATAAGTCAAAACCATTCATTCATTATCCCAAAGGATGATCATGGTAAAAGTATTCTTAAAATATCAGAGTAAAATCATAAACAGTAATTGCATAATAAAATCTTCAGGGTATACAGTGCGATCAAGCCGACCCTTCCTTTTGAAACCAGAAGTACTTGAGAACATTTAAAACTAAACCGTAAGCACAAAGCTTATCGAGTTCCCAAAAATACCACGTACTATACATATATATCAGCCTAAAGCTGTAACGGTTCTATTTCACCCCCGAGTCCCTTCCGACTCTCTAAGTCCCTTCTAACTCTCTGAGTCCCTTCAGACTCCCTGAGTCCATTCTGACTCCCTGAGTCCCTTCTGACTTTCTGAGTCTCTTCTCATTCCCTTGGTATCTTTCAACCGATACGGGTCTATTTCTCCCTTACATCTAAGTATAAAATCATATTGGCAAGACTAACAAAGACAACAAGCATATACAGGCATATCAGTAAGTGTCACAAAGACGACTATCATCCTGCAACATAATCCAGTGGGCTGACGTTGGTGCCTTCGACCCATAAGTACAGTGATGAGACTCACCCGAACTATTCCACAGAAGACCAACAGTTACGTCAGCAACAGAACAGCCAACACAAGCTTCCTAAAGCGAAACTGAAACCATTCCTTACTCAAATACTCAATTCTACCCAAGTTTGAGAAAAAGTTAAACTGGTCAAAAAGTCAATGGGCAAAAGTCAACGGTCAAAGCTAAGGTAAAAGTTGCCAACAATAGCCTACCATGTCATGGCCTTCCTTGGCCACGTCGTGGCCACAAAATGCCAAAACATTAGCTAATTCTGTAGTCGCCACATCGTGGCAGCCTAAGGTCATGCCGTGGGGACAGGTCTGAACAGCTCAAACGAGCTTAATCCATTTTCTTCTGATTTCAAGAGCTCAAAAGCTCACATATGATCCTTTCCATGGTCTTAATGGATAAAGTTTCTAACATCCATTAGGAAGGTCCAAACCACCAAGATCTAGACTTTAAGTCTTAAAGGGACCCAAAAATGCATCTTTTTCAACTTAATCCATTAAGTCCAAGTCTCCTACTCTCATATCTAAATCAACAAGATGTCTAGATGGATAAAGTTTCCAACTTTATCCATAAAAATGTCACAATCATTCAAGATCTAAACTTTAATACACCAAAATGACCTAAACGACCAAGATAACTTGCATGGCTAAAAGGGAAGGCAAAAGATCATAACTTTCCTAGTCCATATGGTCCATGAAGCCTTCTAAACTGATCAAAAGATGTTGGAGTCCACTCAACTCCAAGATCACCCATAAAATGGATCAAAAGTGACAAAAACCCCCAAATGATAATATCTACAAAACTAGATAGCAAGATTAGAACTTTGTACTTACAATAGTCTAGAAATGTAGTGTCTTTGATGGATCCAAACTTGAATCATCATTCCTTGCAACCAATAGAATCTTCTTGAACTTTAAACTTCATAAAAAATCACATAAATCATCCAAAAGATGAGAGAGGAGAAGTTCAAATCTTGAAGGTGGAGACTAGGGTTTCTTCCAAAGGGTTCTAGAGGTGATGAATGCTGATAAAATGCCTCAAAATGTGGAACCTTATGCTTAAACATGTTGAAAACCCTAAAATTATGTGTTTGGGCCTGACTGACTGCCATGCCGTGAGCTTTGATCCCCACTCCGTGGCCATGACTGGAGATTATATACAACAAAACCAAGAATAATTATATAATTTTCCTACATGACTGGAGATTAGATACAACAAAACCAAGAATAATTATATAATTTTCCTACGGTTTATGAAAACCCACATAGGATTATATATGATAGACGATACCAATGGCTATTCCAACATTTCTTTTGGTGGGGGACATTATTAATGAATTTATTCAAATTAAAACATAGAAGGTATTGCAAATACAGTTTAAAATAATTAAAGTATTCATATATAAAAAAATTTAGCTATTGGAGGCATGTGTTCTCACTCTCACTAGATCCCCATACAAGATAAATAAAATATATATAATCTCAATCTTCATTGTTTTGTCGTGATCTGGTTGTATTGGAATCATTGAAAACAATGTAAATTCTCCAAAATGAATAAAATATGGAATCGGAATGAACTTAATTTCAATTTGGAATTCCTTGTGCGCCTTAAGAATTATTATACCAAAATAAATGGCAGCATATGCACTAACATTAGGTGTTATTATTTTATTAATACTTAAGTTTTTACACCATCCTCCACCGGTTTACACACTTTTTTTTCCCTTAAGCTTGTTTTTTCTTGCCCTGGGATACATAGTATCTTGGTGGTGGGTGAGAATGTGAGATGTAGAATTCTACATATATGGTTCAGCTCAAATCCTAACATTGACACATCAAAAATATTGTTAGTGTTCCATCATTTACTTTTCATGTAAATTAACCCTAGGAAGTTGCCAGGTTGGGACGGGTTTCATAGATGGTTTAGATGTTACGTTTTACCATTTTTCTTAATTTGTTTTCAAGAAGATGGAATAATATAGCATGAACACCTATGGTAATGGACGAACATACAAACTTATATCTTGAATAAGTAAACGAAACAGTGAACTTGAAGTAAAAGCATAGCTTGTGTATTGGATCGAAGTCTAAGTGGAATAAAATCCACATGGGCTCATACATATGACATCCCTTATTTTGCACTCCAGAAAATCACATACAACTTAATTAACAAGGGTACGTTACTTGGAAAGCTTATGAAACACAAACTCAAAAGGAGTATCACCAGTGGCAGCAAGACGCCTAACCCCCTTGTCTAAGTAAATGCTTACGTTAAAGCATGTTTGAGGACCTGCACCACAAAACGAGGGACAGTGTTGAAGCATGTAGCTGTGCACCTTCGGACTTGTTGGCTTAGGATACTCCTCAATCTGAAAGCATGTAACTGCCTCCTCGAAACCACCACCAGTTGTAATCAGATTAGAAGGTGGCTTTGCTTCAGCATCTGGAATCGTCCAAAATGTCGACCCCTCACAAGCACCCTTGGGATACCCGGAATCAATGGCAAGATTGCGTGAGGTGAGGAGATACTTTTGCTTACCAATAAGAGTGAACATGAACTGGCCACCGAGGTTAACGTCAGCTGGGTCCTGCACCACATTAAATGGGCAAATTTTCTTATTGTTCATTGTGTCAGTTAACTTGATTCTTCCACCCATAGCCGATATGACTGGACCAATATGGTAGGGAACGTCATTCAGGACCTTTTTCCCGGTAGCATCTTTCACTACATTTTCACTGGCCGAAGCAGCGTTAGTGGTTGTAGAACAGATTGACTGTGTGGTGATGACAAATAGAAGGAAGATTGCATCCGAGAGGGATGACTTCATGATATCTAATCTTTTGGCCCGTTATCTGGTGTAACAAGAGGTTGCTATTTATATATAGAATATAGACTGCTGATGCATCTAGAAAAGAAAAAAATAAATAAAATCTTTGCTACACGTTTTTTTTTCTGCATACAGTAGTCGTTATCAACAAGATTTTTTATTTTTATTTTTTAATTGCTATGGATTTTGTAGCGACGACATATCACTCAGTAGTGACAACTGGGAGGCCCCAGCTAAACCACCAGAAATTTAGTTTAAAGATAAAGAAATGAATATATAGTTGTTCTATAGATTAATAATAACGAGATCTATCTACATTAACAAAAAACCATGTACATGCACAATTTATATAGAAGTCAAAAGTTCTTAATATGCTATGGTATAAATTATAGTATAGAATTATCGGTTTACCTTGGTGACAGTTTAATATATTTATGGATAATATATGAGACGATGGGACTTGATCAGGTGCTCATGCTTTAATTTTGATGATAAAATCTATAGCGAGTAACCTATCTAAAAATCCTAACGATATAGAATATACCCTGAATGATTATTACAAGTACTATGTTTACATATTTGGTATCACGCTGCAGTGATTGTGAAGTGAGCAAGAAAGAGAAAAAAAAAATACAAAGGAATCTTCATGTTATTGGAATTAGTCGACATAATATATCCATTATTGCATGCTTTTCACAGTGTTTTCGTTGTCCTGTTTTAGACCATAAATAGAAAGATAGGATAAGGATATAGAGTATACCAACTGAATGGTGATAATCGCCGAACACCGCATGTATGGATTTTGGGCAAAGACATTATATATAATTTCATGTGTTAAATAAATTTGATTTTAAATCTATTTTAGATTTAATATCGATAATATGATGATAATAATAAGGAATATTCTGAAAAATGACCATGCACTAAATTAAAGAAATATAAAAAAAAAATATCTTTTTACCATTTCTTCTTAGTTATCCACCTACTCGTACAATTGTTGGCGTGAGCAAGACTCGTAAGAAATAACTATGACATATGTAACTTAGTTTGTTGTATTTAGATAGCTATTGAATAGTCCTTAGATTTAGGTTGTATACTAGCTTAGTTTGTTTCTCCTTCCTGTGTAAATATGTAAACCTATTAGCTATGTGAAATATAGAAAAAGCGGAAGAATCCTTTCCCATATCGATCTCTTATTTTGACATGGTATCAAAGCTGGTTTAAACCTGATCAATTGAATTTTTCGAAGTATTGAAGCAATAATGGGTACCAACGGCGAAGAATCTAGTCCATCGAATTCAGCAGTCATTTTCCAAAACGTACAGGACGCACCGTTTCCTACTAGAGTCATTCTCGATGACAACAATTACCCTCTGTGGTCTCAATTGATGGAGATGCGCATTGAGGTTCGAAATAAAACTGGTTTTCTCACTGGAACATCAGTGAAACCATCGGCAAATGAAAAGGCAATCGAAACGTGGGTCACAGATAACAACAAGGTTAAAAGTTGGCTCATCGATTCTATGAGTCCAACCCTAATGCGTCGATTTATTCGACTAAAAACAACGACTGAGATCTTGAGTGTTGTCTCAAAAACTTTCTATGACGCATCTGATGAAACTCAATTATTTGAGTTGAACCGACGATCCTTCCATACTCGCCAGAACGGACATGCGCTGCCAGCATACTACAACGAACTGGTAAGCTTGTTTCAAGAAATTGATACACGCTTAACAACTCAAGAAGAAACGGTAGATGATACCGTCACAGGTAACAAGACCATGACCCGTTTCCGGGTTCACATTTTCTTAGCAGGACTGGATCCAGAATGTAATTACGCCCGAAGTGAAGTCCTTAGGAAAGACCCACCCCTAGGTCTTGAAGCCTGCTACGCGTACATTCGAAAAGATCATAGTCAGAGACAAGCTATGGAGGAGACGAAACCAGAACTAGATAGTGTGGTTCATTTAACCACTCGAAATCGTCCCTCTCCCAAAGGAAAAAATCCTAATGGAAAAGGCAACATTTTCTTGTGCACACACAATGGTGAAGAAGGACATTCAAAAGCCCAGTGTTACGAAATCATTGGATATCCTGAATGGTGGGATTTCTCGAAGAAGACACGTAAGAAAGTAAGTCTAGCTTCGGTAACTACATCATCAAAGACTGAAGAAGAAACGACTCCAATGGCAACACACACATCCACTGGTATGTTACATCACAGCCACCCTAAAAACAATACTTGGCTAATTGATATAGGTGCCTCATACCATATGAAAAACGTTTCGAAAAAATTGGAAAAATATGTACCCCGAAACAATAAAGCATACAAACTGCCAATGGAGGATTGGCACCGGTAACTTGTGAATGATCTGTGAAGGCCTCGAACACAATGGACCTTGACACGGTCCTTGTGGTTCCATCCTTATCCTCAAATCTATTGTTTGTTAGTCAAATTACTGAGCCATTGAATTGCTATGTAACATTTTGGCCAAATGATTGTGTATTCCAGGATATAGTGACACATCGGATTCTTGGCTATGGTATTAGGCGGGGGAGGTTGTACTATCTAGAAGAGAATAATCGAATTCAAGTTTTCCACATTGGAGTAGTTCAGGCAAATAAGTCAGTGGTGTGGTTGTGGCATCGTCGACTTGGACATCTGTCGTTTAGTTATCTTAAAAGGTTGAACCCGAATTTGTTTTTGAATGTAATGGATAGTGAGTTTAAATGTGCGGTGTGTGAGTTAGCCAAGAACAAAAAGGTCTCATATTTTCCTAGTGATAATAAAACTTTACTTCCTTTGGTGAAAATCCACTCTGATGTTTGGAGTCCACCTAGAATTCCTACTCCAAATGGTGCAAAGTATTTCGTAACTTTCATAGATGAATGTACTAGAATGATTTGGGTGTCACTTCTCAAAAGCAAATCAGATGTTTACTATGCATTCAAAGAACTATTCCAAACTATCAAAACTGTATACAGAAAGGAAATACAGGTGCTATAGTCGGATAATGGAGGTGAATACATCAATAACAAAATGAAACAGTTTTGTAAAGAAAAAGCAATAAGACATCAGACTTCGTGTGCTAAATAACCCCAACAAAATGGGCTAGCTGAAAGAAGAAATTGACAGGATCATGGAGATTGTTCGAGCCTCTTTGTTTGACATGAATGTCCCACAGAAATATTAGGGTGAAGCAGTTCGTTCCGCAGCTTACCTAATGAATAGAACACCATCAAGTGTAACAGACTTCAAAACACCATTACAAAAGGCTCACGAACTCACGGACCTACCTGAAAATGATGGGCTCGAACCAAGAGTTTTTGGGTGTACCGCATATGTCCATCAAGACATTGGAAAACTGAAACCCCGGGCCATTAGGTGTATGTTTATTGGGTATGCAGATCAAAAGAAAGAGTATAGATGTTATGAACGAAACAATGACAAGGTGTATGTAACATGAGATGTTGCATTTCACGAAACAGTATCCTTTTTTGGAAGAGAGTCTCTGCTTCAGGGGGAGAAAATAGACGAAGCAGTCACTCACAACCAAAAATTAGTACACAGTGGGGATATGGGAAATTCCGAATTATTTCCCGAGTTCGTCAATAGTCATGATAACGATAGCAAAGATGAAAACGAAAGCGAAGAAAAAGAAGAAGGAAACATTGAATTTAGTGATTCTTTTCTCTTCGATGATCAAGAAGCACCAGAAGATGATAGGCACGATAGTACAATCAATGCCACCGCCAAACATACTATTCACCAAGAGGTAGCCAACAAGGAACCTTCATCTAAACCTCTGGAGATTATCTCTGGCTTTGTTTTGCAGGAAACACATGAAGAGATAGAACCACGAGTGCCGACAAGAAGCACTCGAGGAGTACCGAAGAAGCAATATATATCGGTTCTGAATGCAAAATCAAAGTATCCGGTCAGTAATTTTGTGTCTCAACATCGCCTAGCAAGATCACATGCTCTATTGGTGGAGGAACTATCCACGGTTGCCATACCTAATAACGTACAAGAAGTAGTGAAAGATGTGAAATGGAAGAATGCAATGAACTAAGAAATGGAAGCTCTACAAAAGAAAAACACTTGGGAACTTGTGAACCTTCCCTCCGGGAAGAAAACGGTGGGATGCGGGTGGATCTATACCGTGAAACTCAACTCAGAAGGCAAGATAGATCGATATAAGGAGAGACCGGTAGCAAAAGGATACACAGAAGTATGGAATCGATTATGGAGATACATTCGCACCGGTCGCTAAGATCAATACTATTTGTATTTTAATTTCTGTTGAAGAAAATGAAGATTAGCCTCTAAAGCAATTTGATGTAAAGAATGCTTTCCTAAACAGCTACCTGGAGGAAGAAGTATACATGTGTCCACCACCTGGAGTGAAGTGCAGTGGTAAAGTGTGTAAATTGAAGAAAGCCTTGTATGGGTTGAAGCAGTCCCCCCGGGAATGGTTTGATCGGTTCTCAAGTTTCATGAAGAAAATAGGGTATAAACAAAGTGATACGGATCATACGTTGTTTGTAAAAAACAACGGGAAGATAATTGCACTAATTGTATATGTTGATGACATGGTGGTCACAGGAGATGATCCAGAAGAAATGGTAAGACTTCAAGTTGTACTTGCAAAATAATTTGAATTGAAAAACTTAGGACACTTAAAGTATTTCTTGGGCATTGAGGTGGCAAGATAGAAAAAGGGAATCTCTATGAATCATCGGAAATATGTACTTGACTTGTTGGCAGAGACCGGCATGCTTGACTGCCGACCAGCTGCCACCCCAATCGAAACTAATCATAAACTTACCATACTACCAGATCAGGTTCCAACAAATAGAGAAAGATATCAGAGATTGATCGGAAAGCTTATATACTTGTCACATATCAGACCAGACATTGACTATTCTATGAGTGTAGTTAGTCGCTTTATGCAATCTCTAAGTGAAGACCATATGAATGTAGTTTATTGCATATTGAA